GCCCCATTCATTCTTTCCTTTACACGGATCAGTCGTCCTGGTCCCTTTGCAGAAAAACAGCCCCAAAGCATGATGTTTCCACCCCCATGCTTCACAGTAGGTATGGCGTTCTTTGGATGCAACTCAGCATTCTTTGTCCTCCAAACACGACGAGTTGAGTTTTTACCAAAAAGTTATATTTTGGTTTCATCTGACCATATGACATTCTCCCAATCCTCTTCTGGATCATCCAAATGCACTCTAGCAAACTTCAGACGGGCCTGGACATGTACTGGCTTAAGCAGGGGGACACGTCTGGCACTGCAGAATTTGAGTCCCTGGCGGCGTAGTGTGTTACTGATGGTAGGCTTTGTTACTTTGGTCCCAGCTCTCTGCAGGTCATTCACTAGGTCCCCCCGTGTGGTTCTGGGATTTTTGCTCACCGTTCTTGTGATCATTTTGACCCCACGGGGTGAGATCTTGCGTGGAGCCCCAGATCGAGGGAGATTATCAGTGGTCTTGTATGTCTTCCATTTCCGAATAATTGCTCCCACAGTTGATTTCTTCAAACCAAGCTGCTTACCTATTGCAGATTCAGTCTTCCCAGCCTGGTGCAGGTCTACAATTTTGTTTCTGGTGTCCTTTGACAGCTCTTTGGTCTTGGCCATAGTGGAGTTTGGAGTGTGACTGTTTGAGGTTGTGGACAGGTGTCTTTTATACTGATAACAAGTTCAAACAGGTGCCATTAATACAGGTAATGAGTGGAGGACAGAGGAGCCTCTTAAAGAAGAAGTTACAGGTCTGTGAGAGCCAGAAATCGTGCTTGTTTGTAGGTGACCAAATACTTATTTTCCACCATAATTTGCAAATAAATTCATTAAAAATCCTACAATGTGATTTTCTGGATTTTTTTTTCTCAATTTGTCTGTCATAGTTGACGTGTACCTATGATGAAAATTACAGGCCTCTCTCATCTTTTTAAGTGGTAGAACTTGCACAATTGGTGGCTGACTAAATACTTTTTTCCCCCACTGTATGTCCCGTGCCTTTATTTTATATTATATGATTTTATACTAAGAATAATATAATTGAACTGAATGAAATAGAAAGGATAGTTTTCCCATTCCGGAGCAATTCCGCATATGAAGTGGCTATGTTGAGCGTAAAAGTAATAATTTGAAACAGGTCCTATTCGCTAGATTTCAAGTTATTTGGCAAATTTTGTTGTGAATGATACAGACCGTAGAATGTCTTAGAAATCAAAACATATATATGGGCTGCATGATTCGACTATAGGCTATTGACTATTCGAAAAAGTCCCCCAAAAAGCTTGCGCTCTGTTCCTAGCCTCAGGCTGCACACGCTGTTCTCTTATCAAGTGATCATATTTTACCCATCAGACTATTCTCAATGTAATCTTGTCTTTACTAATATGTAAAATGTGTTGGTCCCATGTTTCATGAGCTGAAATAAAAGATCCCACAAAAAGCTTTTTTGTGCACAAATTTGTTTACATCCCTGTTAGTGAGCATTTCTCCTTTGCCAAGATAATCCATCCAACTGACAGGTGTGGCATATCAAGAAGCTGATTAAACAGCATGATCATTACACAGGTGCACCTTGTGCTGAGACAATAAAAGGCTGCTCTAAAATGTGAAGTTTTTGTCTCACAACACAATGCCACAGATGTCTGAAGTTTTGTGGGAGCGTGCAATTGGCATGCTGATTGCAGGAATGTCCACCAGAGCTGTTGCCAGAGAATGTAATGTTCATTTATCTACCATAAGCTGCCTCCAATGTCGTTTTAGAGAATTTGGCAGTACGTCCAACCGGCCTCACAACCGCAGACCACGTGTAACCACGCCAGCCCAGGACCTCCACATCCGGCTTCTTCACCTGCGGGATCGTCTGAGACCAGCCACCCGGATAGCTGATGAAACTGTGGGTTTGCACAACCGAATAATTTCTGCACAAACTGTCAGAAACCATCTCAGGGAAGCTCAGCTGCGTGCTCATCGTCCTCACCAGGGTCTTGACTTGACTGCAGTTTGGCGTCGTAACCGACTTCAGTGGGCAAATGCTCACTGGGCAAATGCTCACCTTCGATGGCCACTGGCACGCTGGAGAAGTGTACTATTCAAGGATGAATCCCGGTTTCAACTGTACCGGGAAGATGGCAGACAGTGTGTATGGCATCCTGTGGGCGAGTGGTTTGCTGACGTCAACGTTGTGAACAGAGTGCCCCGTGGTGGCGGTGGGTTTATTTACATTTACATTTTAGTCATTTAGCAGACGCTCTTATCCAGAGCGACTTACAGTTAGTGAGTGCATGCATTTTTATTTATTTATTTCATACTGGAATCGAACCCACAACCCTGGCGTTGCAAACGTATGGGCAGGCATAAGCTACGGACAACGAACACAATTGCATTTTATCGATGGCAATATGAATGCACAGAGATACCGTGGCGAGATCCTGAGGCCCATTGTCGTGCCATTCATCCGCCGCCATCACCTCATGTTTCAGCATGATAATGCACAGCCCCATGACCAAGGATCTGTACACAATTCCTGGAAGCTGAAAATGTCCCAGTTCTTCCATGGCCTGTATACTCACCAGACATGGCACCCATTGAGCATGTTTGGGATGCTCTGGATCGACGTGTACGACAGCGTGTTCCAGTTCCTGCCAATATCCAGCAACTTCGCACAGCCATTGAAGAGGAGTGGGACAACATTCCACAGGCCACAATCAACAGCCTGATCAACTCTATGCGAAGGAGATGTGTCACGCTGCATGAGGCAAATGGTGGTAACACCAGATACTGACTGGTTACTGATCCTCGCCCCTACTTTTTTTTAAGGTATCTGTGACCAACAGATGCATATCTGTATTCCCAGTCGTGAAATCCATAGATTAGGGCCTAATTTATTTATTTAAATTGACTGATTTCCTTATGAACTGTAAACAAGTAAAATCTTTGAAATTGTTGCGTTTATATATTTGTTCAGTGTAGAATGGCCCATTATCAAATGGGCAGCAATAGGGGTAGTGGAAAAAAGAGGTAATCCGTATATATGCACTTAAATAGCTGCTTTCCCGCAGTTCGTTCTTAAATCATGCCGGGTAGGCTAATCCGGTTTTATAGCGGAGCAGCTGAGAAATAAATATAGTAGCAGCTGGGTGCCTCCTCTTTTTAGTGGCAACCATCAAAACGATGCTTTCACACAGGATTGCGTATACAAAATGTCTGGGCTTATAAGAACACTTATTTAACTTCACACATCAACCACTGTTTGAGGACCATGCAGCCTCTCGCTGTTCGACAGGTGATATTCCGCCCAAACTCTGTATGCCAAGGGCTACCTAGTGCTTAATTTGGGAAACCAAGTGAAATCTGTTCGGGAACATAGATAGTAATAGGTTTTCATAACGAAATATATTTAATTAAACTGTTGTCAGCCCCTATCTCTGCACACTCGAGAAAGGAATGAAGGAGAGATAGGAGGAGAAGGAAATGCACGGTGGTGAGATACTCTGTAGCTAAAGGTAATGTCAGCCTATTAATTATGAAAATATAAAAAAATCCCTATTACTAGGCTATTCAAAATCAAATAATAATAATATGATATGCCATTTAGCAGACGCTTTTATCCAAAGCGACTTACAGTCATGCGTGCATACATTTTAAATACTAATTCACTGTAACTGTAGGCTAACTCTGTAAGCCGCCCTGCACAATCGATGAACCAACAGCATCGCCTAGGCCTATACGTTGTCTCCCAGAGAAAGTTTGGAGCGTAACATAAGGTAACCAGTCCATCCGGTATGCATAATAATACAGTCCACACTCAAAGGCGATTACTAGAATTTATAGTATAGGCTAGACCAATTATGTACCAAAGACATCTTAAATCTTTGTTTTTAAATGTTTTTCTGCCGTACGTAATAAGCTGTAGGCTATTATTATGATTGTATTGTATAACAGCACAATCATTATTTTAATTCAGGTGTTTTTTTTCGGACTCATATATAGGCATATGCATAAGCTCTAATATGCTTATGGGTGTTCTACATACAACATCTTAAATGCTTTGAATTAATAATCACCTTAGAAAGCGCTGTCCATTTTGTTGTGTTTGGCTTTTAAGCAACATCCACAATGACCATGTTTTCCACTCAGTTTCAACCTGTTGTTGAGCTTCTTTCTTCAAATTGATCATCACAGTGAGGTAACAAAATGTAGCCTAATGGTGTGTTTTAAAAGCACAATACTGTTTTGATGATAAGTGTTTGATGTGATTTTAGATTGCGTTTGCATTGATGTCAGAGTGGTTAGAGGGACAATAGAGCACTGAATACCAGGCCATTAGCGACCTGACGGTCGTTAGTAAATTGGTACTACCAACGCATGTCCAGAGTGCATAAGAGGAGATTACTGTGACTCAATGGAATTTGACTGCGGTCATGACTGCTGGTGTAGCGGTCCAACGGTCACTGCAACAGCCTTACCTGTACGGCAACATTGTGCCAGCCATCCTTACCTGTCATGTTCCTGACAGGTGTGTTGTGTTTGATCCATTTAGTGTACATTAGCGCCACGACAAGCATCTGCTGGCCCACTGACAACACAGGTGTCATGGCGGCTTGTCAAATGTAGACACATGGAAAGCAGAATTGGGCTTCATTGTGTCTTTAGCAGTGCGTGAGCGATTGGAGTGCTGAAATTAAAGCGTTTGAGAATTCTATGTTGTTACTGTTTTGAAGTGAAGAACTGAAGCATTTTATAAAGCCTTGGCCCCAGATAGGGAATGGGGAGTTAAAGGGGAGGTAGCATTGGGAGTGGATGGGGGTGGAGGAGAGTCGGGAGTGCCCTTCTCCTGTCGACTATGGAAGAAAGAGATGCCTGGTGGCTCCTATGAAGTTTATCTTCCTTCCTGCCCAGCACATTACAGATGGCTGGCTAAATTGTATGTTTTTGAAGTTAGGCTAAACTCTTCTTGTGTTTGCTCCTCCCAGGGCAGCTCAGAAGCTGAACCTCTCGTCCAAGCGGAAGAAGCACCAGCCTCCCTCCCTGCTGCACCCTGGAGCCCAGGAGCCCTCCATCTACCCCACCAACTTCAGTGGCACCCTGCAGCTCTCGCCGCCCCCCGCCCCACCATGCCTGCTCCGCGCCGTCTCAAAGGTCAAGGAGAATCCCGGGATGGGAAAGGTAAGGAGTGACAGGCACACACACAGACACACACACATTTACATTTTAGTCATTTAGCAGACACTCTTATCCAGAGCGACTTACAGTTAGGGAGTGCATAAATTTTTCATACTGGCCCCCCGTGGGAATCGAACCCACAACCCTGGCGTTGCAAGCGCCATGCTCTACCAACTTTGCTACAGGAGGCCACACATACACGTTTGCACATACACATGCACTCACTCACACACACACGCACACACACGCATATACAGTGTGTATGAGTGACTGACATTTTAATGGGAGAATGCACAGTGGTGACGCATTAGTCCATAGGCAGCCAGTCGTCTGGTCCAGTCCATACAGATGCGGGCAGATAAGCCTGTTCGAATGTCATGAATTCACTCAGTTTGTTAGGGCCACGTTCCTCCCTCTGAGGGAAAGAAAACACAAAAATCCAATCCAATTCACTTTAAAGGCTAAAAGTTTGCAAACATTACTACAGCGAATTTCTGCTAGCTGCGTTCCATAAACCTGATGATGAAATCGAGCAGGATGGCGTTGATTGGTCTGTCAATAGCGTTAGTGCTGTATAAACACACCCTTCCTCTAGGGTTTATTGGGTATTGTTTGCTGAGCTGAGATCCTGTATTTATAGAGCAGATGAAGTCCCCTAACAAGATTAGATCCCACCTGGTTGGGAAGTCGTTGCTTACTCTGCCAAATTTCCACACCATTGAGATTTTGTCCCAAATTGTAAATCTCACTTCATAAAACACCAGCGTTATTAAGAAGCTTCCTCTCCCTACACCTGAGTTACTGAGCTAGACATCTGTGACAGCCACAGGGTTGTTTTGAAAAGGGAAATCAGCTTGTTTTACAGCATTATTCTAAGTCTATAACCCCAGGTTCCTCTTCATTAAGCACACTGTTATGGGAAACTCAACCTGTCATTGTGTCTCAGACAGTACTGCAGTTTGCAGTCACCTGGTTCAGACAACCAAGAGTTCACTGCTGTGAAACAATGCTTGTTTGAGGAACCGCAGCCAACACGATTTCAGTTGCCAACATTCTTTTGTCTGCGGTAGACAATTCATCCCAGCTTCTTTACACCTAATCTACAGTATGCATTTCTGAAGAAATGACTGAAACACTGAGGGGAATGGGTGCTGTGATGTTTTCTTATGCATTTATTCAAGACACTCCTATCCATCCATGAAGAGTTGATGTCAATGCTGACCCAGACTATAGCCATTCGATGTGTTTTGTGGAGGGTTTGGACATGTAGAGAGGTGGTTGGGAGAAAATCCCAGCTAATGGATTTCTTGGTGGGATCAAGAGATAGGGGAACAAGGCCATTAGCAGAGGGGCCCGAGGTGTTAAAATGCAGCAGAGGCTCCAGCCGGCCCCTGGTATCACTACTCTGCCAATGTAAATATAGCAGCTCTAGACGTTAGCTATCGCTCCCTCACCCGGTTGGCTCAGCAGTCATATATGGAAGCCCGGTTTAAATGTCATAGCAAATGTAATTTGCTCAACATATGTACACGTCAGTCACGATAACAGCCCCCCACGGAGCACAAAGAGAGTTTGCACTTGGCTGCCGGAACACTGGAGAGGAATTCCCTCTGTGGCGGAATGGTATAGCCACCACACATTGTTCCTTAGTGCCAGAGCCAGGATCTGTGGCAATATTTATAAACAAGCCATGGGAACAATAGGCCTTTTGTGTGGGCGTGCTGCGAATGACACGGGAGAGAGACACAGAGAATGAAAGGAACAGTCTGAGCTGTCAGTTTTGCTGCCTTTGCAGAAAGGGGAGGTGGGGGAACAGTTAGAGTTGTAATCAGCTGCTCCATACCACAGAGCCTCTCACAGGCATCATAGTCATTTTGTTTTTGTGCGATGCAGGTTTTTATTATTTTTATTGTCCCAGACTGAATTCCTTATCAACGCATGGTTGTTAAATCTCAAGCTGTTTGTAACTATGAAGGATAGGGGGAGCGTGCCGATGCACTGGTTCAGTGGATTGACTACCACTATGCTAAACCGTAAACACACTAAGCTTTCAGGGATTTTTTAGAGCGAGGAGAAGCACCATTATCCATTCCTCTGCCTGACAACAGAGATGTTTATGTCTCCTGTCTGTCATACTACAAGATAGTCAGGGTTGAGTTTTCACAGTCAAATGTTGACAGAGTGAGTGAGGATGTTCTTCTTATCAGAGGAATCATCCACTCCTACATGTTCTTTATAAATGGTATTGCAGTTGTCACAGAATAAAAAGAGTGTGAATTTGTTTGAGGGGGCTAGTCAGGGAGACTGACCTAGATGAAAACACACACACACACACACACACACACACACACACATGCACACACAAACACACATACACATAACCACACACACACATACACAGCTTCACCTATAACGTGGTGTGCATGCAGATGAAACCTCACCCTGCTCTCTCCAGTTCAGGAAGTGCCAACAGACACAGCTGGCAGAATAGCTCCATTTGTCATGGCCATAACATACAGTAGTTACAACATTAGACTAGATGAGAGATGTCATAGTAGAGGTGTACTAAATCCACGCCTTAAACATGACCAGTGACTTGCCATACTGTTAAGATCATGGATCACTGTTAGGATCATTAGATCCCGTGTAGCTCAGTTGGTAGAGCATGGCGCTTGCAACGCCAGGGTTGTGGGTTCGATTCCCACAGGGGGCCAGTATGAAAAATGTGTGCACTCACTAACTGTAAGTCGCTCTGGATAAGAGCGTCTGCTAAATTACTAAAATGTAAAATGTAAATAACCTGAAGCGACACAGAATCTATGGACTCTAAATTTAGACTCAATACAGACAGATCCCAGACTGATTCTGTCTGTGAGAGAGAAAGGGAGAGAAAGAGAGGGAGCGAGAAAGAGAGAGAGAGAGAGTGAGAGTGGGAGGGAGAGGGAGAAGGAGAGCGAGGAGGTGGAACAAGAGAGGGGCCATATGTTCCGATGCTGCAGAGCTACAGAGTTGCTCTTGGTCCAGAGAACAGCCTGCTGGTTGGATAATCCCTCAGCATGGTGGGTGGCTCAGAGTCACAGTCATTACTGTTATGATTTACAATATCAGCCGTACACTGACACCATTAGGCTTTGTGTTGACTCACGAGTGGCAGCTTAACATGCAATGGTGATCCATTTGTCAGGGGTAGCCGTGTCTCCATGGTAACATCCACTGTCTATCATCATTGACATGTTTATCCAGGTTCAGCGTTGGTGTGATTTCAACCTGTCCGTTCTCTCTCCACTACAAATTCCCTTCTATGTCTCCTGTAGCTGTGTGTACTGTATGTACTGTGTTATCTGCCTGCAAATGCTCCCACATTTGCCATATTTGCTTACATCTATGTTCTCTGCTCTCTCTCTCTTTTTCTCTCTCCTTGTGTTGCAGGTGAAAGTGATGATGCGTATCTGCCCCTCCCTGGAGGCTCCTGATTCGTCCGAGTCCATGTCCTTCCTGAAGGTGGACCCCAGGAAGAAGCAGCTGACCCTTTACGACCCATCAGTCAACGACCACGCCAACTCAGGGCACAGGAGAGCCACCGTGGCCATTCCAAAGATCTTCGCCTTCGACGCAGTGTTTACCCAGGATGCCTCTCAAGTAAGGACCAAGCAGTTGCAGAGTGTGTATGCTGGCTGGGTGCAGTCCAGGGGCTTAGTGAAAAAATGCCTGTCTTGGGTCGGGAGCATTCTATCCAGTATGGGCCACAACAGCTGGGGCTTTTAAGTCTGGGGAATGAATTGAATTCAGTCCACTTATATCTAAGCTCTCCTTTCATAGTCCAGTTATATCTAACCTCTCCTCTCCCAGTCCAGACCTTACAGTCTAGTAGAGCCATGCCTAAATTAAGATCAAAGTGGAAGGGCCAGACACTGAGGACATGTTTACTTGACGGTGATTGAGTAACAACCAGACAACTATGTGCTATTGAGTTCTGTTTAGAAACTTCTCTCACCAAAACCATTGAGCTTTCCATTGACCACTCAGTATCCTCTGAACTGATTGATGAGGAGATGAGAAGATCTAGCAGTGATACAACATGCTGTTAAGTGCCTACTAAAAAGGGAACATGAACCAAACTACTCAAGGCGATTGCTCCCTATCGTACTATACAATATTTAGGTTTGAGAAGCTGAGAAGCAGTGGGGGATCTGATCAAGCCTTGGTATGGTCAGTAGCTACAGGGTCTACAGCATGGATCAGTGTCTCCACAGTGGAGGTTGGGTTATGTTCATAGCTTCCTCCATCAGATACATCTCCTCCACAGTAAGCCAGCTGATAGGGGCTGATTGCCCAGCTCCTGTAGAGCAGACTCTGAGGCAAGGCTGAGGCAAGACTGCTAGATTGTGCCACTGGGACCGCACTGCTGGTGGCTAAAAGTAACAGCAAGCTGTTCCGCAGTAAGAGGCCTTGTTTGCTTTGTGATGTATGGGAGGAGATCTCAGTCTGCAGCAGAAGCCTAGCCTCAGTGGAGCCGTGGTGGTTAAACAGATTGTAAAGATGAGCCACGCATTTCAACAAACGTTCCTGATGACGACGCTCTCTGAATCTTTGATCAGAGCCTGTCTTACTGATGCTCCTCCTGTGTTTGATACCTATAATATTTGTAAAACTAATTGAGGATCTGTTAAAGATTTGATATTTCAATATACAACATATGGAGTGGGGAATGGTAGAGCTGCCCTCTAATTCCCCTATCTCTCTCTCACACTCTCTCTCTCTGTTTCTCCCTCTCTGTCTCCGTCAGGCGGAGGTGTGCTCAGGGACGGTGTCTGAGGTCATCCAGTCCGTGGTGAATGGTGCGGATGGCTGCATCTTCTGCTTCGGCCACGTCAAGCTCGGTAAGTAAGCCCCTCTACTCCCCTCATCTGGCAAAGAAAAACGCTCTCTTTCACAGCCTGGTTTGATGTTCACATTCACAAATGGTTTAGTGGTGCACTGGAGTGAGCTGAGGAGAAGATAAGAGAGTTTGGATGAGCAAGGGCTAGTGAGAGATGGTGGTGAGGGGTGTCTTTAATTTTACCCACTGTCATTGACCTGGATTCTTTACCAGTCTGAGGGGCTGTCATTTCTCAGAACAGGCTTCCTTTTCCCTTTTCTTATCCACTGTGCTCATCCTCCAGTGATTGCTCCTTGAATCACCCCCTTCACAAATTCTTATAGACACAGGAGATTCCCAATCAACTCTACCCATTCCGGACAGCGTATTACAAGTCTTCTCAGTTTTAGGAGAGAAATGAGCAGCAGGCTGTTGACAACAGCAATGCATATTACTTGTATATTAATGTCTCCATCCCCCTTTCCTCTCCACCGTCTCCAGGCAAGACGTTCACCATGATTGGCAAAGACGGCTCCACCCAGAGCCTGGGCATCGTGCCCTGTGCCATCTCTTGGCTCTTCAAGCTCATCAACGAGCGCAAGGAGAAGACTGGCACGCGCTTCTCTGTCCGCGTGTCTGCCGTGGAGATCTGTGGGAAGGACGAGGCTCTGAAGGACCTCCTGTCTGAGGTGTCCACAGGAAGCCTGCAGGATGGACAGTCCCCAGGGGTCTACCTGCGTGAGGACCCCATCTGTGGCACTCAAGTGAGGAAAAAAAGGCGTCTAGACGCTTGCCTGTTTTCTTGCCTTTCTTTGTTCTCCCTCTCCGTCTCTCTCTGTCTGGTATATATTAGTGTCTGTGTATTGATCTGACTCTCACTACTATCTACCTCTGTCTACCCCAAAGATTTAGGCCTTTGTATTGTCCGTTTTCTTTCATCTCCCAGGTCTTTCCTCTGTGTACTCTGAGCCCATATTGCCCTGCCTTACCCATCTCAATAATCCCTGCTCTATATTTTCACCAAAGCCATCCACAATATCGACGTCTTTCTCCATACCTTTTTATTGACTCCCCTGTCAGCATCCATCAGCATCTATTACCTCTGCGTTAGCTCTGGTCCTCTGCAGCACAATGGGACTAGTTGGGGGGATGGGGGATTGAAGGCACTGACAGGTGTTGCCGTCTGATGTTGTTTTTTTGGATTCTGTGTGGACTGTGACTTCAAAGGCTGCCGGAGTCCTGTGAAGCTCTTCACGGCTCCTCCTCCTCTTAGTAACCACGTGGTGTGGCCTCCCTACTAGATGCCCCCTTCTCTCCTCTCCCCCTCTCTCCATACCACACCACATCCGTGTGGAGGAAAGTGCCCCTGCCTCCTGCTCCTCCATTACCTCCCCTAATCCCCCTCCCTCTGTGTGCATATCTGTTTCTCTGTAATTGCCCCCGAGACCCAATCTAATGGGCAAGAAATGTGTGCTTGGGTCCAATTAACTGTCTCCCCCCTCTCTCTCCTTTTTCTCTCCTTCCTCTGTTCACTTCTCACTCTTTTCCCTCTCTCTCCAACTCCATGCTCTCTCCTTCTCTCTAACCCTTCTCTTTATTTTACCCCCCTCTTACCCTATCTCTCCCTCTCTTCCCTCCTCCCCCCTCAGCTACAGAACCAGAGCGAGCTCCGCGCACCCACGGCGGAGAAGGCAGCCTTCTTCCTGGACGCGGCCATCGCAGCACGCAGCACCAGCAGGCCCGACGCAGATGAGGAGGAGAGACGCAACTCTCACATGCTTTTCACACTGCACATCTACCAGTACCGCATGGAGAAGAGTGGCAAGGGAGGCAGTGAGTACTACTACTACTACTCCTACTACTACATTACTACACTACTACTACTACTACTACATTACTACTACTACTACATTACTACTATTACTACTACATTACTACTACTACTACTACTACTACTACTACTACTACTACTACTTACTACTACTGTTATTACTACTACACTTAGCACATCTATCAGTACTACATGAAGTGAGGCTCTCTCTGAACTCTAGTGTCACTCTGTGTGTCCTAGTGTCTTTGACTGTGTCTGATTTTCATTCATCATTCTGCTATTCTATTAATAATTTCCTCACTCGATTCAACAAATACTCTGACCTTTTCGATTTCTCCGCAAGAGATCAATGCACTGAACCATATTGCTGCACATGAACAGAACAATTATTTCACTGGCTGATTATGGACTTAATCGAGTAAAAGTAATGACCTACAGTAGTTTAATGATGATGACTTTATTATGCCTTAATGATAGTGTTAAGTAGCAGATGTAATTCCCCTCATCAGTTCTGGTGCTGATGATAGTTCTTCAAGTGTCTGTGTTCCCAGAGGTAACCATCATAGCCACAGGAGACTGCACCGCACTGGGCTAGATGGTGTCTAAAGTCTGAATAAATCTTAATGAATAAAAAGCCTCAAGCCTCTCATGTGTAATGTTTATGGATGGGAGCGCACTAGCCTCTATAAAAATGTGACTTGCTTGCATTCATGTGTTGTGCTAAGCGGAGGGAGAGAGAGAGCGCGCGAATTTGAAGCACTCCATTTCTAAGTATTGCTGACAAGAGTTTAATGGTTCGCCACCTAGTCTGAAACTCTGTAATTTTCTCCCACAATCATGTGAAATAACATATCAGGGACCTACATTACAATGTGCTGCCCCGCTGCTGAATAACATTTGGAGAAATTCTGCTCATTTTCCGTCTATACTGAATTACTGTATAATTTCTTATTTTATAGCACAGCCCCCCAAACTAGTCATCATCTAAGATGACAATTTATGTACCAAATACAGTGACTGTCCCCCTTGGTTTTGTATGTATGTGACAACAAGATCCTTCCATTTCTGGAACGTTATTACCTGTCTGTTAAACGGAGACAATCTCAGCCCAGATTTTTATCACTTCAGACCGAAAGGCTTACTATTGAATAAATCAGACTGCCATGTCTGGTCAGGTTTGGGCTGTGCCACTCCTGCCTGTATGGAGCAGCAGCAGCACGTGGGAACCCTGACTTCCTTCAGAGGGAGTGTCTGACTGTGTCTGTGCTGAGATATAACCTCACCTGGCTCTTCCTCCTGTGTCATCTACAGTGTCAGGCGGACGGAGCAGGCTGCACCTTATAGACCTGGGGAGCTGTGAGAAGGTGCTTAGTAAGAGCAGAGACGGAGGTGGAGGCCTGTGTCTGTCTCTCACCGCACTGGGCAATGTTATCATGGCTTTAGCCAATGGAGCCAAGCACGTACCTTACAGGTAGGGGAACTAGTACTGTACTTTATATACCTTGATTATGTAATACGGAGTCGAGTATGTAATCAAAATGTACATTTACCTTGACTATCAAGGCTGTGTTTATCTAGCTTGCTATAGATTGAAAGATATGGCTCAGTCTCAGCCATGTAGTTTGCAACACTATGGAATCAGAAATGAGGTCAAGAGACAGATAACATTTAATTTGGAGAATGCAATGCAGACTGAGGGCTTTATTTTACCAAACCTAACGCAATGGTACATTTAAGTGCTGGCGGTGGTGCTATAGGTTCGTGGGTGTGTCAGAAATATTTTTGCTATTTTCACCACCACAATTATAGGCACAGTTGCTGGCGGTTGCAGTGGGTTTTGATGAATAAACCAGTTATGGGTGTGTCAAGGTTTGGCCCCTCACTGGCCAATCAGAAGGTGCTCCATGACTAAATATGTGGTTGCTTCAAGTTGTGTATTTATGGTATTTTATGTATTGCATTGTCATCAACTCCAATTCGAATGTTAGTCCATTATAGTTAGTTAAATAGCCTGCCCCACATTTGCTAAATATGTTGAACATGTTTGCAGTCCACATTTTTCTAATTGCATTGCTTCAAAATGGAAATACATTGTTAAACATAGGCTATAGCATTCACACCGATACAGGGGCTAGGCCTACTTAAAATTGCAGTCTGGACATGCCAAACGTAGTAAAAAACCAAGATTAAATTCATAAGGCTATTGATAAGGCCTAAAAGACAGTATATAGCCTAATTATTCTCAAATTCGAATCAAAACTAAACAATAACTTGTTTTTAAATAGGCTGTCTAAATACAGTTACAGCACCATAATTGCTACCTGTAGGCAGATAAGGCAACTTAGACTATGGAGGTTTTTACACACATTCAAACTTTTCACAGGAGCTGGATAAAGATCAATATAAAGAGAAGGGGAATATCCATTCACCATTATACTGCTCGTAAATGTAATTTTTTATTAACATCATGGAACCATCTTACAGATCATATTTGCACTTCTCCAGAAATAGCAGACGAAATTGCGTTGCATTCCAGCCATGTAGCCTACGTTATCACCATAAACCCATGGACGGTGAATTTTTTAAAATAAGTTTGATCGTTTTTCGTTTCATTTGATTAATAACCAATCTTCTTTTTAAACCAACAACAATATTTCTAAATAGTATCGGGTATTGGGCGGAAACCAATCGTTTTTTGGGGGGGAAACCAATAGTTTCTTTATGTTTCTAAATACGACATTCACCAGCATAAAATGCACATCTCTTCCATGGGTACTGTGTGTCATGACTGGATAGGCTGCGCTTCTGCTCTCAAAATCCATGCCATTATCAGATGTGTTACCGTTAAGAGTCTTAAAACTTCCCATTAGCGCTGCATGGAATTGTCACTTTTGCAAGTGTTTTTAAGGACACGCCTCAAATATTGCCAGCCATCCCACCACAGTGGAAGTGAGCTCAGCTGATGTTAGACAGGTAAATTGCAGAACCTGGCATTAGGGCTGGAAAATGCCAGTCACCAGTTTTTACATGACAAAATTGCAAACTAACGTGCGTTTGACATTGTGCCTCCTTACCGCCAGCCGAAAAAATAAGCCTGTAGTGTAAAATCGGGAAAATGAGCTGGGAGGAAGTATACTAAGAGGTTAGAACCAAAAATAACAGTTGAAGAAGCAGTTGTTTCGAATGTGATATGAAATGAGTCTCTGGCACCCCAGACTAATATTAGGTGTAAAGGATGTTGGTTGAAAAATCCTGCCGTTTCCTGAGCAGTAATGCTAATAACGGTGTGTGTGAACGTATCATCTCTAGGGACAGCAAACTGACGATGCTACTGAGAGAGTCGCTGGGGAACATTAACTGCAGAACCACCATGATCGCCCACATCTCTGACTCCTCTGCTAACTACACTGACTCCCTCACCACCATCCAGCTGGCCTCACGCATCCACCGCATGAGGAAGAAGAAGTCCAAGGTCTGTGTCTCAACTCAAAGAGCTTTCAGTATCATACGCCATAAACATTGGTATAGCCACATGGGTATTCTCTATTTGAACAGTAGCATATTTCGATGAACACAGCACTTACTGTTTTGATGAGGGAAAGCCATCGATTCTCAGTTATATAAGTATTTAGTGATCTCAAGAGTGTATTACAGGGGTGTTATTAACATAAGTTGCATTGTTCACCATTTCAGGGCCATGGTATGAAATGAATCAGGGCCTGAAATTAATGTGATGTTATTAGTGCCATAATTAAGAGCTAGTTTTTCTTGGCTTCTCAATACATAATCATGTAATCAATAGGGCTGTCTAAGGATTAGGGAAATAATTGCTCCAGATGATTAAGTGGAATGACAGCATGTATTTATTTTGCATCGGTCTCCGGTGTGATTATAATGCATGCCACGCATACCAATTCATATTATTGACATACATTTCAGTGTACCTATTGATGTGCATTTTTTACTTTTAAATGTATTGACTGGCTATTTTTAAAGGGATTTATATTTGCCTTACAAATGATTCCTTCCTGAATTCTTTACACAATTGAATTAACTGTAAATTGAAAGAGGGACATGCAGAAAAATGTGGAGAAAATGATATAAAGACTCTTTCAATAAGCCTAAAGTAATAATGTTATATCTTGAATATGAGAAGTGTGCAGACAGTCTTGTACTAAGCACTTTAGACATGTCCCAAATACACTGTGTTGTAAGTGTCTGTATGTGTTTCTGGCTGTCTTGCAGTATGCATCCAGCTCCTCTGGAGGGGAGAGTTCCTGCGAGGAGGGGAGGATCCGTCGGCCGCCCCACCTCAGACCCTTCCACCCCCGGACGGTGGCCCTGGACCCGGACCTGCCCTCCCTGCTCAGCGACCCAGACTACTCTTCCAGCAGCGAACAGTCCTGCGACACCGTCATCTACGTGGGTCCGGGGGGCGCCGCCATCTCTGACAGGGAGCTGAGTGACAACGAGGGCCCCCCCACCTTCGTTCCCATCATACCGTCTCTGAACAGGAAGCGTTCTGGGAAAGAGGGCACCCTGGACAGAGACCACTTCTTCAAGTGCAACACGTTTGCTGAGCTGCAGGAACGCCTGGAATGTATTGACGGCAGCGAGGAGCCTACAGCGTTCGTTGGAGAGGGCAGGGGAAGTCAGGCCAGCCCACAGATAGACAGCAAGGCAAAGGAAGGCCCTGGCTCAGCTTCCCTAAAGACTGTAACTAAAGCCTCCTTCTCCCAGGAGAGTATCTCACCCAAACGTCCTCCTAAATCTGTAGGCACTACGCCGTCCAGCAGCCCCCAGGTGAGCCCCTCTAAGTCTAAACTGGAACATTCCAGAGGGGTTTCAGAGAGCGTGTGCAGAACGAGTGCTGATGGTGAGAAGGTGATGATGTCAGAGAGCCAGGCTAGCCCAATCCAACAGGATGTGGCCACGGTGCCAGCCTCTGAGCCAGTGGTGCGGGAGAAGGTCTACTTCAACAAGAAGCCCTTACCCAAGCCTGCTCCCCCTCCCCCACAGCAGAGAGACTCACGCAGAGGCAACAGAGAGGCAGAGGAGATGTCCACCACTAGAATGCCGCCTGTGGGAATGAGCCATCAGGCTGGGAAACGGGGGGAGTCTGGGGGCTCCCCTTTTCTTGGTAGAGCCCAGACAAGGGGACCAGTAGAGGTGTGCCAGCTGCGCTCCACCCTGAGAGAGAGGTGCCTGGACAGGGACATCCTCCGGGCTACAGTGACCCTGCAGCAGCCTGTGGAGCTGAATGGAGAGGATGAGCTGGTGTTCACTGTGGTGGAGGAGCTGTCCATCGGCAGCATCATAGACAACGGCCGGCCCTCCAGCATCATCAGCTTCAACAGCGACTGCTCCCTACAGGCCCTGGCCTCCGGCTCCCGGCCCGTCAGCATCATCAGCAGCATCAACGATGAGTTTGACGCCTACACGTCAGCTGTGGGGGGTGCAGTCAATATCGAGGTGCTCACCCCCTTACAGGATGACACATTTGTGTGTGTGGGCAGCAGGGGCTCGTCCATCAGCTCCTGGCTCAGTGAGGTCAGCGTCTGTACTCTGGAGAGTGAAGGGGCCCACTCTGCAGACGTCTTCCTCCCACAGAGTAAGCACATCGGCCCAGAAGGCACCTTCTATCTGGATTCCCTGGGTATGTTTCACTGTGAATCATCCCCAAGGGACACCAAGAAATCCCTGAATGACAGCGGCTTTAGCTTTTCTGAACTGGACAGTGACAGCGCAGTGTCTAGCAAACTGTCCCTGACAAAGTGCCCTCCGTCTCCCGAGTCAACCAAAGGATCCCTCAGATTCCCATCCAAAACAGCGAAAGTGAACTTTCTCAGCTCCTCCTCCCAACCCTCCCAGGGCCCTTACATAGTCCACTCCAGTCTTCCCAGGAAAATGAAACCTACCTCATCCATCACCCATAGTAACAGCAACAGCAGCAGTCGTGAACCACAGAGACAGGAAGTCAAGCAGGAGGACCCCTGGCAGCGCATTGACAACCACTCTGAACCTCAGTTCCCAGACCCCAGTGCCACTGCCACCAGCAAGCTTCCCAGAACCCCAGTGAGTGGCATTCCCTGCCGGAAAGCTGGTGTTGTCAACAGCAACAGCGTACCTCGCCAGCCCAAGGTGCAGGGCTCTACCTCAGCCCAGAGGGTGGTGGACGGCTGTGAGAAGTCGGCCAGCAAGAAAGCAGGGTCCCCCAGCAAGATGCCTCAGCTCAGACGAGGGGCCACCACCCTGGGCACCGTGCCTGTCATCCACGCCTCCCCAGAGACCAAGGTCACCACCCAGGACATCACAGCTACAACCAACAGTCTCAAGTACTCCTCTCTGGGGAAAACTGGGAAGACCAACGGGCAGAAAGCCAGCATGCTCCCCAAACCTGGTGGTACCTCACCTCCTCCCCCTCCAGTGCGCAAATCCAGTCTGGATCAGACGAACAGGACCCTGCTGCCCCAAAGTGCCTTAAAGTCTGCGTATGGGGAAGCAGGGAGGCCCTCACTCACCAGGGGGACGGTGTCAGAGGATGAGCTAGAGGTCCATTGCAGAGGAGACTCCAACAGCCTCAAAACATCCAGCCTCAGGGGTGACTACACCTCGGCCAAAGCCACGTCCAGTCTGAAGGCCAGAGGGGCCAGAGGGGATGCTGGACAGCAGCATTACGGCAGTCAGATGTCTCTGGAGAGGTGTGACAGCATGTCCATGGTGGGCTCCAAACCCACCATCAGCCGAGAGAACAGAGGGACCAGCCTGGGCAGCAGCATGTCCAGCAGGTCCATTCCCAGATTTGGTTTACCCAACTCAAGCAGCTCTCCCATTGCTACCTCCCCACCTTCCCCATGTGGCGCCACAGGTGCTCTAGGTAAACCTGGGCAGGTCAAAGGTAGTGTTAACACCAGAGCGGTTGGAGTGGTCAATGGAAGTAAGGCCCGTTTGTTGTCAGCAAGCAACTCTAAAGCCCTGAGCTCCTCCACCAAGTCCCTGGCAGCTCCAGCCACCAGAAACCCAAATGCCAACCTTCCCCCAACTGGCAAGACCTCCGCCCCTCGGGCCACCGCAGCCGTAAATAGCAAGCCTGGCCGGGGCACCATCATGGGCACCAGGCAGGCCATGCGGGCAGCCAACAGCCGGGTCAGTGAGCTGGCATCAGGCAGCACATCAGGCAAACATCTGAGGGGCTCAGGGGACTCTGACAGTGGTAATGACAGTGGGGTGAACCTGAGTGATGACAAGTCCCCCGTGGCCATGCTGCCGTCCCCCTACAGTAAGATCACAGCCCCCAGGAGGCCGCAGCGCTACAGCAGTGGACATGGCAGTGACAACAGCAGTGTTCTGAGTGGAGAGTTGCCCCCAGCCATGGGCCGCACAGCCCTCTTCTACCACAGCGGGGGCAGCAGTGGTTATGAGAGCATGATCCGTGACAGCGAGGCCACAGGCAGCGCGTCCTCTGCACACGACTCCATGAGCGAGAGTGGGATGTCTTCCTCAGGCCGCCCCAGGACCTCCAAGTCCCCCAAGAAACGCAATGGTAAGCGCTTTGAATCTGTATACATCATTATGCATTATCTCTGATAATATCCTGTACAACAGCATACTGTTAGGGAATCAAAAACATGTGAAAGTTCCATAAAATCCCAAGCATTAATTAGGTCCTTTTACAAGCCTTCTTGTTTAAGTCCTGTCTTTGTTGTTTTTTACAAGCCACTGTGTGATGTCAGAAGTCAAACAGTCCACTTGTTAAATAATGGAGGAGAAGATCGTTAATGGAGGTCATAAGCCCAACTGTCTCTATAAAAGCCTCTTGTCCAAAAGTCACAAAGCACGTCTATGAATTACCCCTAATTGCTTTTTGAAAAGTAGTTTTCCTGCACAGAGCAGCTTAGACAATCACTAGTTAAGGGTTGTTAAGGGTGAAGGTTCACTGCTGTTGACTTTAACTAGATGTGTCATGCTGAAAAGCAGACTGAGTGGTGTTCCCGTCTGAAATAAGAACTTCAGTTCTCCAGATCGAAGCAGCATGCCAGAGAAGTATAGCACAGAATCCCCAAACAACATCAAGTACAACCTGCGATTTCTCTAACTTCCCCTGGTAATCTTGTAAAGATAGAGGCTCTAACAGTTTAAAATCAGATTCGTATAGTTTATGTAATCAAGGTATGTAATGAGATTACTTTGAACTCAGTTGAACAGCACTGGAACGTTGTTGTCATGTTCCAGCTCTGGTAGATTTATGTAGTCAACCTTTTCAATTCATATTGTGTGGTAGGGATATGATATAGACAGTGGTGAAAGCCTTCTACATATGCAATCAACAGCACGCTCAGGAGGTCTGTGTAAAGCCTGCTATCGCTTTACATCTCCGTCTCAGCCTCATACATATTTACTGATAGATAGAGCCGTTCAACTCGGCCCGGGCAGATATTACCATTGTACATTTCCTGCAGTAATTGAGGTGCCTGTCTGTCTGTGTCTCGCCAGGGCTCCAGCGGCGGCGGCTCATCCCGGCCCCCCTGCCAGACACCTCATCCCTGGGGAAGAAGACTGGCACAGCTGGCCAGTGGGTGGACCTGCCGCCCATGTCAGGACCACTGAAGGAGCCCTTTGAGATTAAGGTGTACGAGATCGACGATGTGGAACGGCTCCATATGCGGCGTCAGGAGGACTCAGCCGAGGTGAGCGAAGGGTCACGCTTACTGTCTGTCAAGCTCCCCATACTGTTACTGAACTTATTTTAGAGTCCTGACATTAGGTTCATGTTCATCACTACGTACGTGCTTCTTAGCAATGTCAGGCTCAGCAATGTTCTGCATGTGCCACATTGATCTCAGCAATATTCTGAATGTGCTACATTGAAGCCAGGCATGGCGTTGTGGGAAGGTCTTGGCTCACTCCTTCCCAGTTTCTTATTAAAGAACAAGATGAAAATATGCGTCTTAGACGTTCGACCTTCAGTCTGCCCAATGGCGATTCCCGGCGTCTTTAAGTGTCTATGTGACCACAGTCAGAGCCCAGTGTTACTCTAGCCAGGCTTTTGAAGGAATGTGAAGAGATCAGGAGGCAATTACTGTCTGGGGTTAATTGGTTTAGATATGACTGGGGCTTACTGCTGGTGCTGGTCGACGGAGGGGGAAGGGGTGGTGATGGAAAGAGCAGTCTAGGAATTTGTGATGAATGTGCATCCCCCCCTCCACAGCCCATCAGCCATCACCGTGGCCCATCCCTGGCTGCCTGATGGCTCTTTATGGCTGGCGCTACTTGCCACGGGTCATTAACTCCTCCCACAAGTTAGAGGTAGCCAGACAGGGATTTGTTAAGAGAAGATATTAAATCAGCTGGTGGTGGTTTGATTTAGTTTCAATTAGGAAAAGATGATCTTCAATTTGTCTTTCCAAGCCATCACTGGCTGAATGGCTGGGAATGAAGTGCTCACACGGGGGTGTATGAGCACTTCATTCCCAGACAGTGATGGCTGGGAAAGACAAATTGAAGATCATCATTCCCAGTCCAGTTTTGGAATACCATGTAAAATGTGCATCAAGGCTTGTTTCCATGTTTGTATATTCACATGTCTATTTGTGTTCACATGGATTTTTCTGTGTGTATATATACAGGGTTCAGTACTCTGTATATTCATGTCTGTTTGTGTGTTCATGTTTGTTTGAGTTCTAACTGTGAAATCATAACTCTGTCTAGAGTAAGAGCATATGTTTGACCTTTTGTATTTTCTCTTCTCTTGTCTCCTCTTTAGCAGCCATTCCAAGATGTTGAGAAGGTACGTTGATTTTGCTGGATGGCTGAGGCTTCATTATTCTGTATTGGGAGTTGGGGAATAGTTTGGAGTGAGGGAAGAGAGGCGAAGAACAGGAATTAATTGCATTGTTTGAGTTGCATGCACATATCTCAAATTAGGTTTCTGTCCATTGTGACAGGAAACCAGTATTCTTATATTACAATACCTGGAAAATGGGCCAGAAATGTTAATATACACTACTGTGTCTGTATATCCTGCAATTCTTTAGCAGCAAAAAAATGCTAGTCAATGACGGCCATGAAATATCATCTTCAAGCTTACTCTGAATTTCAAACAGTTCCTGTCACTCACCACCCTATCGTGTCTCTCTCTCTCTCTCTCTCTCTCTCTCTCACTCTCACTCTCACTCCCGCTCTCTCTCTCTCAGGGCCTGCTGTACTTCAACAGTAAGCTGAAGGTTCTGGAGTGGCGGCAGCAGCAGATCAGGGAGCTGAAGGTCAAACACGAGACACTGAAGGAAGAGCTAGAGGACACCAAGACCCTGCTGATGATGGACCCATGCAAGTGGATAGGAGAGTGTAAGTGCTACATTATTCTACCAGGATAGGGGCATATGGGGATTTACACCTTTTTTTATTCTTCATATTCCCTACCAAAATAGAAAGTTATCTTCCTATTGAAAGTTAACTTGATTCTGTGGACTGTCTTCCAGATTTCAGTTGACTGTGGGTGACCATGACTTTAATCATCTGCTCTCCTGTCTCTTCTCTTTCAGTTGAGGTGGACCAGGATTTGGACAAGGAGTCCCAGGAGTACCTGGAGGCCCTGAGTCAGGTCACAGAGGAGCTGGACTTCTGTGTCAACATATGCAAGTCACGTGTCATGATGGTGACGTGCTTCGACATCCGTGTGGCATCACCACCTGACACTCAAGAGGGACTGCGAGAAGTGGAAGTCTGAGAAGGATGCGAAATGAGTGATGGAGAATCCAGAAAGTGAGAAAGGAATGATGATGAAATGTAGCAGCCAGTTCATATTGCTGGAATGAAGTGACAAGAAAAACTAAAAGACAAAAGATGAGACAAACGGGATGAGGGTCTTTGCATGGAGACAGAGGAGATCTGAACCTACTTATCTGCAGTGCCTCGTTGTTCTGGACATGTTCATGTTGGAATGGGAGAGAAACGTGTGCACAGACAACAACGGTTTCTGTGTTTCCTGCATGATGAGAGAGAGGCCATCATTTACCCAAGAGTCATTCAACGACACCCAGAAGTGCCTTTTTCACTCAACTTATTTTGAGTCATTATTTTTTGTATGGTGCTAGTATCATAACCAGCATAGCTAAGCAAACCCTGAACATATTCCTTTTAAGAAATAATAATTTTATATTGCATTGTATAGTGTATTTATATGATTATGCTGTGTGTAAAAAGATCAGTTGTAGGAAGAAAAAAGTCAGAAGAAAAAGGAAGAGCAATAAGCTAATGTTATTGCGTTCCCAAACTTTGCCTTTTCTCATGTTTCAAACCAACCTCAGTCAGCATTTTGCCCATTTATCCAGCCTCTTGCGCCTTATGTTATCTTTCTTGTTCTGTAGTTTTTCTACCTTTTAAAACAGGTCTGTGTTATCTTGTCAAGGACTCGGTTTGCTGTTATCACTCAGCCACTGCCAGCGGAGCTGTGAAAGCTAGCAGGTTTTAGTAAATGTTTCCTCCCTCCAGTTGCCTTGATCCCAAAGGGCCCCAGTGGAGGTGCTGAGATGGGTGGAGGTGTAGAGAGGGAGAGAGGAAAGTATGTGGATCTGGGCTTTGTTTGCTCCTTGTTTATTTAATTGAAAGTGTGGCAATGGCAGAACACATCATACACCATACAGGGCCTGCTCCCAACAGGCTGTGTGTACGCCATGATTCATAAGTGTGACAGTAAGCTCTTTCTGGTGCTCGGGGTGTCTAGAGTCACCCTGACAGACCTCCCTAACCCTCCCTGTGCCCCCAGAGCGATGGAGAGAGCATGCTGGGTGTTATTCACAGGCATAGTGGTGCTTGTCAGTGCGTACATTTTATCCCTAGATGAGCCTCAACTGGGTTCTACTGACACATACAGAAGGGCACAGATGAGATGCCACAAGCAAAGGTAATTCTACGTCTCTCTTGTGTTGTACTCTTTTTACTGGTGCCAAGCCTTGGTTCTATGCATTCCAACATTCTCACTCCCACTATAAGAATCTCATACACTATATATACAAAAATATGTGGACACAAATTAGTGGATTTGGCTATTTCAGCCACACCTGTGGTGTATAAAATCGTTCTCTGGAGTGATGAATCACGAGTCATCATCTCGCAGTCCGATGGACGAATTTGGGTTTGGCGGATGCCAGGAGAACGCTGCCTGCCAGAATACATAGTGCCAACTGAAAAGTTTGGTATGGGAGGAATAATGGTCTGGGGGTGTTTTTCATAGTTCGGGCTAGGCCCCTTAGTTCCAGTGAAGGGAAATCTTAACACTACAGCATACAATTACATTCTAGATGATTCTGTGCTTCCAACTTTGTGGCAACAGTTTGGGGAAGACCCTTTCCTGTTTCAGCATGGCAATGCCCCCGTGCACAAAGTGAGGTCCATACAGAAATGGTTTGTCGAGATCGGTGTGGAAGAACTTGACTGGCCTGAACAGAGCCCTGACCTCAACCCCATCGAACACCTTTGGGATGAATTGGAACGCGGATTGCGAGCCAGGCCTAATCGCCCAACATCAGTGCCCGACCTCACTAATTATTTTGTGACTGAATGGAAGCAAGTGCCCGCAGCAATTTTCCAACATCTAGTGGAAAGCCTTCTCAGATTAGATGTTCGACAAGCAGCTGACCACATACCCATGGTCATGTAGTGTAGATCAACAGCACAGACAGTTTGCAATGACTCAGAACCCTCCCTAAGTTCTGCTTCAAAGCTACATACACTACCGGTCAAACGTTTTAGAACACTGACTCATTCAAGGGTTTTTCTTTCTTTTTTAGTATTTTCTACATTGTAGAATAATAGTGAAGACACTATGAAATAACACATATGGAATCATGTAGTAACCAAAAAAGGGTTAAACAAATCAAAATATATATTTTTGTCTTAAAGTAATGATGGACTGTCGTTTCTCTTTGCTTATTTGAGCTGTTCTTCCATAATATAGATGTGGTCTTTTACCAAATAGGGCTATCTTCTGTATACCTTGTCACAACACAACTGATTGGCTCAAACGCATTAAGAAAGAAAGAAATTCCACAAATTAACTTTTAAGAAGGCACACCTGTTAATTGAAATGCATTCCAGGTGACTACCTCATGAAGCTGGTTGAGAGAATGCCAAGAGTGTGCAAAGCTGTGATCAAGGCAAAGGGTGGCAATTTGAAGAATCTCAAATATAAAATATATTTTGATTTGTTTACCACTTTTTTGGTTACTACATGATTCCATATGTGTTATTTCATAGTTTTGATGTCTTCATTATTATTCTGCAATGTAGAAAACAGATTAATCACACACACTCATCACACACAACTCGAAAATGAAGAGTTGATCGGCTAAATTTTTAAAAAGCCCCAACAATAATGATTTGTTTTTAGTCTTGAATAGGTTTTAAAACTTTGGACCGGTAGTGTATATATAACACTTCTCTCCAACATTCTATTTTATTAACTAATTTAACCCGATGTCTCAATCAAAGACTAGGATAGGCTCCAAGAGTAGTGTCCTAACTAAAGGCCATAAGAAACCACAGTTTCCTGTGTATACATGCAGTGAAGCAATTACAGCCTTCAGATTTTGATGTTGTATGGCAAATAAAATCAATCAACCACTTGTATGTAGCGGCCAGAATGTGTGTGTTTGAATTACTTTTCTTAAAACGGTGAGGACAAAGATGATGAACTGGTTTTGGTTATCTAGTAAGAAACTAGCTTTTGTTGTATCTTGATGTGTTTGATATATAACTAAAATATTCATTTGTTTTCTTTCAAAGATACTCTCAGGCCCTTTCTGAAGATGCTGCATGAGATTTTTTATTCATTTTTTAAAATGATTTCTATTCCATTTTTACCATTTTGATTTTTATAATACAGCCTCGGCTCTCCCTAATGTGGGGTTAGTTTCATGAATTAAATGACTATTACCAAACTGAAACATTTCAAGAAAGTTTATGTATGTCATATTTCATATAAAAACCCATATTTTCTAATGTCCTTGGTTTTGTATAGGATTTTCTGACTCTGTGTATAAATGTATGATATGGCAGCTCGTGTTGAGTTTTATCTGTGAATAAAATAGGTTTCTTTTTATTGCTGACATTGTGAATACATTTTTCTTCATAGGTTGTCTTGAAACAAACCATTCTGTTAGGCCCAGTGGTTTGGCCTACAAAATTCAAAACCACAATAATTGGTCATCAAACTAGATTGAAAGTCACCATGTTAGGTTGAGAATGTAATGAAGGCTTTACAGTTGTTTAGGTTTTTGCAACCTCAATTGGAGTGCAAATTTATCCAAATAGTCAAGTACTAGCGAAATGAAAAGGGTAGGGTTAAAAAATCTTTTCCTGTAATTCTAGTTAGCTAAACTAGGCTACAGTGCCTATCTGCTCACCTGGTGTTGCATTTGCATATGGTTAGTTCCTGGCTTTTGTCAAACATCTGTTAGACTTTCAATGTTTTCTGGCAGCGCGAAGGGGGAATTGGGCTTGCGCACGAGGAACTGACCATATGCAAATGGACACCAGGTGAGCAGATAAGCACTGTAGCCTAGTTTAGCTAGCTACAGTGGCTTGCAAAAGTATTCACCTCCCTTGGCATTTTTCCTATTTTGTTGCCTTACAACCTGGAATTAAAATTGATTTTGGGGGGGGTTGTATCATTTGATTTACACAACATGCCCACCACTTTGAAGATGCAAAATAAAAAAATGTGTGAAATAAGACAAAAAAACTGAATTTGAGCGTGCATAACTATTCACCCCCCCCCCCCCCCCCCAAAGTCAATACTTTGGAGAGCCACCTTTTGCAGTAATTACAGCTGTAAGTCTCTTGGGGTATGTCTCTATAAGCTTGGCATATCTAGCCACTGGGATTTTTGCCCATTCTTCAAGGCAAAACTGCTCCAGCTCCTTCAAGTTGGATGGGTTCCGCTGGTGTACAGCAATCTTTAAGTCATACCACAGATTTTCAATTGGATTGAGGTCTGGGCTTTGACTAGGCCATTCCAAGACATTTAAATGTTTCCCCTTAAACCACTCGAGTGTTGCTTTAGCAGTATGCTTAGGGTCATTGTCCTGCTGGAAGGTGAACCTCCATCCCAGTCTCAAATCTCTGGAAGACTGAAACAGGTTTCCTCAAGAATTTCCCTGTATTTAGCGGCATCCATCATTCCTTCAATTCTGACCAGTTTCCCCGTCCCTGCCGATGAAAAATATCCCCACAGCATGATGCTGCCATGATGGTGTTCTCGGGGTGATGAGAGGTGTTGGGTTTGCGCCAGACATAGCGTTTTCCTTGATGGCCAAAAAGCTAAATTTTAGTCTCATCTGACCAGAGTACTTTCTTTATAATAATAATATGCCATTTAGCAGACACTTTTATCCAAAGCGACTTACAGTCATGTGTGCATACATTTTTACGTATGGGTGGTCCCGGGGATCGAACCCACTATCCTGGCGTTACAAGCGCCATGCTCTACCAATTGAGCTACAGAGGACCACTGTTTCCATATGTTTGGAGAGGCTCCCACATGCCTTTTGGCGAATACCAAACGTGTTTGCTAATTTTGTTCTTTAAGCAATGGCTTCTTTTCTGGCCACACTTCCGTAAAGCCCAGCTCTGTGGAGTGTTCAGCTTGAAGTGGTCCTATGGACAGATACTCCAATCTCCGCTGTGGAGCTTTGCAGCTCCTTCAGGGTTATCTCTGGTCTCTTTGTT